ACATTCAAGATTATCTCATTTTCTCAGTGAGTCAGGAAAGGGAGTGGTTCTATATTAAACTTTTCCTTGTTAATCACATTTGGCTAGATGTACGAGAAATTAGGCAGCGCATAAAAGAGGACCAGAATATGCCCGTGTTCTGTTTAGGAAGACAAAAGGGGATGGCTTTTGTCCCACTCCACTGCTTTTCCCGGACTGTTACATGTAGTTGTCTCTCAAAGCAAAGTGGTAAAGGTAGGCAGAGCAGTTCATTCATTTCTTCTCTTGTAAAGAAAAACGTGGCCCAAGCAGGCAAGCCATTTTGCCAGTGTCGCCAGCAGCTTCCGACGTAACAAGAAGAGACTCTCAGTCTGTGCGCTTCCTCGTTGCAAGTCGCTCCCTCTGGGCCTTCCAGTGGCTGAACTGGATAATCTCCTGCCCCTTCCAAACCCGATAACACAGGCATTAAGATGCCTGACTGTGGTGTCCAAGAGACCCGGCTGGGTTCAAATCCCGGCTCCACTACTTACAAGCTGTGTGACCTTATACCAGGCAATCGACCTCACTTTCCTCGTCTGTAGCATAAGGGTAACAACTTCACTAGTCACAATGTATTTCGGGGAGGCTACAGATAAACAGCACAAGCCAAGCAACACAGAGCAGCGCCTGGCAGGCAGTGAAGGCTCAGAGCCAGATGGCTAAAAACGGACACAATGAAGTGTGACTTGAAAAAGTAGGGATGAGAGCAGTGGATTCAAATATGAGCCAGGGCATCAAATTTGATCCATTGTGGACAGCATAAGACCATCGAGCCTTCCAGAGGCTTTCCAGCGCCTTGTACTTTGGTTGTTTTGTGTGTTTCAGGCACAAATTGCCATCCGTGCCAACTCTGCAGGCAGGTGCCACAGATCTTTCTTGTCCCAGCTGGAAGCAGCATCATTGGTCGTAATGTGAGAGATGACCATGACTTCCCAGGAATTTTGAGTGTTTGGGGTTAGACAGCTATCCTTCTAGGTGCTGGCTCCCCAGAGAGGCAGACACGATGGGATGGAACCCTGTCCTGTTGTGCTGTTCTACTCTACATTTAGCAATTGTGATGCATCGATCTGCTTGCTCCAGCTTCACTTATTTTTTTTTTTTTTTTTTTTTTTTTTTTTTTTTGTCCTTCTGTACTTGTTATTGAACCCAGGACCTCCACACTGAGCTACATGCCAGTGCTTGTTGCACTTTTTATTTTGAGATGGCATCTCGCTATGTCATTAAGTTGTCCAGATTGGGCTCAAATTTTTGATCCTCCTGCCTCAGCTGGATTTGCCTCTTTTGCCTCAAGGTGTCCTTGGGCTCTTCTCATGGAGCCTCTCCCTCAGGCTGTCATTAGCCCAGATGTGGCTCTGGAGGGACATCATTGCTCTCACCAGCTACCCTTAGTCCAGACCCCACATTTCCAAAGAAAGCAAACCAACTCCAGCAGCAAAGAGAGCAAAGGACCCCACAGAGACTCTTGTGGGAAGGCCCAGAAGAGGGTTGCATTCTACAGAAAAGTTGATCAAAAGCTGTGCTTTAAAAAACTCATCCTCCTTGCCTAAGTCCTGCCACCCTGACCCTGGTGCTAGTAGTCCTATTCGCTCTCTTTCCTTTCCTTTTATCCATTCTTTGTGTGTGTGTGTGTGTGTGTGTGTGTGTGTGTGTGTGTGTGTGTGTGTGCTGTTCCCAAAGATTTGGCTCTAGTCGCTGCCCTTGAATCTCCAAGAAGTACAGAGTTAGGAGTTAGCTGGTCCCAGCTCTCTGGAAAATATTTCAACTACCCATCTATTCTCCCTCAGTCCCACCTCTGGCAACAGGCCTTGCCCTTGTGCATCTCATCAAAGAATCTGCCTACCAGCACCAGAGGCCTCTCATAGGTGCCCGTGCAGATTTTCTTAAGAAAACGGGATTTGCTCCATAAAGAGTCTCTTGAGTTCCAGGTGGCTTGGAGCTAACTCACCTGTGGGCTCTCTAGCTGAAATTGATCCCCTGCTCTCCGTACCAGGTGCTATTCTAAGGTGCTGGACATAGATCCTATCATTGGTTCTCAAGATAAAGCTTTTCAAAGAAGGGTCATCCATCATTACCCTGGTTCACAGATGGAAACCCAAGGCACAACAGAGTTAAGTGGCTCCTCCGTCCTCACTCAGCAAAAGCCAGGCTGTTCGGCTCCCAAGCCTGTTCTTGTAAGCAATAGGGCCAAGCCTGGATGGTTTGTAGGGGCCAGTCCCCAGTACCTTGCTCTAGGCAGCCCCTCACCGTCAGAGCATGCTGGCTGCCAAGAACCCAGAAGTCCTTATTCTCCCATCAACTGTTTTGGAAAACCTAGTCTCTTCCTTTCCATTGCATCATTTAACTTAACTAAAAAACAATCACACACAGGCTATATGCCCGGCATGGTACTGGAGAAACAGGAATATGTAAGGCAGAGCCCTTGACCTTGTACATAAAGGTCACAGCGAGAGAGAATAGCACGCCAACCAGCAAAGTACAACTCGACACTGAAAGTGCCACCGTGGAGGCATTAGAATAAAGGTGATTCTGCGGTCAAGCAAGTGGTTAATCCTCCCGGAGGGAGAGGCAGGAAGGGTGCCCTGGAGAAGTGACGACTGCGCTGGATTTCGGAAAGTAGAATGAAAAAGAAAATAACCGTCCTCTAAAGTCTAGGATTCCTTCCCTGCCCGGCTCTACAGAATAATGAGGATTGACAGAAGGTAGAGCTCAAGCCTGACACGGCCTTGATTCCCGGGAGGAGTTGGCACCCCGCTCTGAGGGACGCTGGGATTTAGGTTGGTCCACAAGAGGGAAAGGCAATGGTCTGGATTCAGAAAGGAAGCGTGAGGGCTTCAGTTATCTTTGTAACACGTGAAAAGGTTGACACCATGAATCCCACTCTGTTTGTTTGGTGATGACATTGCTTAACTTCACTAATCTGGCTTTTATTGTCTTTCCTGGTTAGTTCTCTACGTTCCCTTGACTTGAGGCAAGATGCCCTGATTAATCAAACAGTGGAATGCACTTTCCTCTCTGAGTATGTTGCTTCAGTGCATTCTACGTGTGGAATGAGGGTAGCAAATGTCTCTCAGCCAAGTGTGGTAGTGCGTGTTTATAGTCCTACTACTCTGAGAGGCTGAGGCAGGAGGACGGCAAAGTTCAAACCCAGCCTGGGCAACTTAGCAACTTAGTTGTTTAAAATTTAACAAAAATAAAAACAGATATTGGGAATGTAGCTCAGTACCAAAGTCCTTAGTTCAAGCGCCAGTATCTCAATCAATCAATCAATCAATCAATCAATCTGTGAGCTGTCATGAAAATGACATTTAGCACAGTAGAAGAACCGAGAAATAAGAAGGAAAAACTGCCCTCTTTTATAGGCATTTCCCCTTCCATTTCTGAACTCTTCCTCAGAAAGACGTAAGTCAGGCTCTCTTATCCCAGACTCAAAATGCTGTGCCAAAATTTTAAAAAATGGAGCTCAATGAAGTGTGAAACAGTTCAGTAATTTTCCAGCAAGACTCTTCCAGGGGCCATGTTCTCTGTTCCACTATTTTCCCCACAGGCCAACGGTGCAGTGCACTAGCTGATAAAAAGCCTCAGCTCTGGCAAGCCCCAGGAGGAGATGTGATCAACTAAAACCTCCCAGATGGGAGGCAGGCGACTGCATCCAGCACCCGGCCAGCCTACTCTTGGGTATTTGTTTGCTAGGTGAGTCAACTAACAAATAAATGAAATGGGGAATCAAAAGTGAGCTGGCTTGTATGTAGCCAGATGGACTTGAGTTGGTTAAGTGTGCCCTGCAGACTGGTCCCTTCATATCAGAGAAACTGAGGCAGCTAAACCAGTCTTCGCCCAGTCTTCTTAGATAGAGGTCCACTTAGCTCTGCCCTCATCTCTTCCTGACGAGACTCTGCTCAAGTCGTCATTCTAAAATACAGATTTGCTTTGTTTCCCCCAGTATTGGAGATCAAATTCAGGGCCTCTTGTATGCCAGGCAAGCTCTCTGCCCCTGAGATACTTCTCCCTTTTGAAAATATTTTATTTCGGTCTTGCTAGATTGCCCATGCTCGGCCTTGCACTTTCAATCTTGTCTCCTGAGAGGCCAGGATCACAGGTGTGCACCTCCACATCTGGCCAAGATCTGCTTTTTAAAAATGTTTCATTGATTTCTAATTGCACATATTTATGGGGTACACCATGATAAATGAATACACGTGTACAATGTACAATGGTCAAATCGGGGTAATTAGCATTTTTGTGTTGGGAACATTTGAACTCTTCCAGCTTTTTACAAATATGTAATCAAACATCTGGTTAGAGCCCTGCCTGGCTGGAAACCCCTCCTCGTTTGCCCAGGCAGGAAAGGGAGCATTAGTGTTCCCCAAGGGCCAGGGCTGTGCTGGGACCCTGTTAGGAGTCTATGCTTCTGTCGTTCCATCCTCTAAGGTCACCCTGGGAGGTGGACACTGTGTCGTCACCTCCTAGACCTGGATGCTGAGACTCAGAGAGGCAAAGCAACTTCGTAGCTACAAAATAATGGAGCTCAGTTTCCAAATCAGCTTTGACTCCGTCCGACCCCCTCACCCCTGCACCACACCATCCAGAACTGCGGTGATAGTTTCTCTGCTCAGCCCTCCACCCGTGAGGCAGCCAGCGAGCTCCTGCCCAGGGCTCCCACTTGCCTGGGTTCCCAGCCTCGTCACGTGCCGTCCTAGCAGTGCTCAGGTCTCTTCCCTGTGGATGGTCCTCTGGCCATGTTTCAGAATCGATTACAGGCACATCCTGTGCGCTGCCAGCCCTCCAGCCTCCATGACTGCTAGGCAGGCAGAGGCCAAACTTCCTCTGTGGAAAACACTCACAGTGTGCCCTCCAAGGAAGTCAGACCACTGTTTTAAGATGAAACTCTTCCTGGTGCAGTGAACCATCAGGTGAGCTGTGGTTCTCTTCACAGGGCAGTATGGGAGTCTGCAGTGACTTTCCTGGGTTTGCACAGGGCTCTGCATTTATTTTTAAAAATTATGACTAAGTAGAGTCTATGAAATGTATGGGCTGTGGAACCTTGACATTAAATTAGCCTCACACTGTCCCCGCTGCCGCTCCTCCCACCGCTGGTCTATGAATAGTAGGCTAAGAAGACAGTGGGGCAAATGAATCAAAAGTGACAACATTTGCCCTGGGGGACAGAAGCTCAGGATTACAAGCAGCTGGCTGAGAGGTTGTGATCTGCACACAAGCCGCAGCATCATTCACCTTCTGCTGGTCTTGTTCTTTTTGGCTACGGTGTTACATTGTTTTCTGCACACCTGAGCAATCTGGTCATGGAGATAATTATTATGATTATGAATGTAATAAGAAATAGTTTTCATTAATTGTTTACTATATTCCAGGCCATGTGTATAGGCTTTGTCATGCTATCCTCACCACGAATGTGCAAATGCCATAGCTTTGTTAAAAACAGCTTTGGTTGAGCTGGGGATTTAGCTCAGTGGTGCTGCCACCTGCCTTGCAAGCACAGGGTCACCAAGTTTGATCCCTGGTACCGAAAAAAGTGGGGGGGGGCTTTGGTTAAAAACTGGTTCTATAATCAGGCAGATGTGGGTGGGTTTCAAACCCTCCCAACTCTCTACGTGCTAGCTGTGTGACCCTGGGAAAGTCACTCATCCTCTCTGAGCCATGTGCAGAAGAACCAAGCAAGTGTTTATTATCTAACTACCTCGTCCCCTGTCATGCAAGATGAACACTAGGGCTCAGAAAGGTTAAGTGCCACGCCCATAGCAGCACAGCTAGTAAGTGTTGTAAGGCAGGGATCTGAGCTAGGTCTGTCTCTCACAACGCCCCTCACTGATATGGCTCAGTGGTTAAGACTACAGCTCCCTGGGCTTGTTCTGGCTTTTCCACTCACTGAGTTTTCTGATCTTAGGCAAATTACTTACCCGCTTTTCAGTGCCTCCATCTTTCCCCTTGAAGAGAAGGTGTGAGCCAGTGTGGTGCCCCATGCCTCTAATTCTAGCAGTCTGGGAGGCCAAGACAGGAGGTTCACACACTTGCATCTCACCTGGGCAGCCCTAGCACCTTAGTGAGACCCTGTATCAAAACAAAACAAAGCAAAAAAATGAAGTTAGGCTGTAACCCAGTGTGAAGAAGACCCTGGGAGAAAACACAGAAAAACGGGTGTGATCAACTTGTTGTGGCTATTAAATGTGATAGTCCAGGCACAGCTCTCAGAACAGTGCCTGAGATATAGAAAGTACTATACGGACGTTTGCTGCTGAACCTGACTTCCTTCGCTTTCCAGCCCTCCGGCCTGCTTGGGTTGCTGGGCAAGGTGAATAATGGTGGCGACCTGGGCAGTCACCCTGAACACTTTTGCTCTCCCTGCTTTTCTAAGCTATCTCTCGGCTCCTAAACCTTCGCAGGATAAATGCTCCCAGCGACGAGGCGACACTACCCCTCCTGACTTGCTTCATCCTAGAGCAGCCACCCTGCCACCCTTCTGACCTTGGCAATTCCTTACTGGGCAGGAAGAGTGGCAAGATGTTTGACAGATCCCTGGATTCTACCCATGAGACACCACCAGCACACCTCCCAGTTGCCATACTAATGTCTCTAGACTTTGTTACACGTCCCTTGGGGTTAAGATCAACCCAAGATGTGAACTACTGGGTCCGGAATATGCTCCCCCATGCACACGCGTATGGCTGATGCTAGGGGCTAGTCTGGGAGCTGGGTGTTTCACCCTCAGTGGTTCATTCCCTCATTGGACTTGCTGGCCACTAAGACCCCTGCTTCTCTTCCACTTAGATGACTGCTGGTGAGACAGTGTAGTGGCCTCAAGCGCATCCTCGGCCCCAGAAATTTCAGGAGCTGAGACTGCGCTGTGGCCCAGCCTATATCCGATTATCAGGACGGTTCTCTCTAAGCACCTCCTTTCTGCAGACCCCAAAGTGGGCCCCACCTTCTATTCTTTAAGGCCTGATTCAGAAGTCACAGGCTTTAAGAAGTCCCCTCTGGCGCTCCATGAAAACTCTTGATCCCCAGCTCTGTTTCCACTGTGCTTTGTTTGCAGCCTACCAGCTGTTTCTCCCAAAAGATTGTTAGCTCTCAGGAAGTAAAAGCTTTCTCAGGGAATCTCACTTCTAGTCATCTGCTAGTGCAATCTTTCCAACTAAACAGTCTTTGACATGAAGTTATTCCCTGACCCTGCTCATAAACCCTCCAGTCGCTTCCTGTGTTCTGGAACATCAACATTCAACAGTTCTCCTTGGCGTTCAGTGCCTTCCACACAGCATCTACTTACCCAGCCAACTAGTCCTTGACATACAAGCTCCATCTAGCTCAGATCATGCTGCTTTTATCCAGGAACAGGTCTGCCTTGGAGCCCACAACAGCTGCCTTTGGAATACCAGCCTCACCCTCAAACCTGGGCCATCTCCTGAAGCACAGCTCAGCTCTTGTTTGGCTGCTTCAGATCCAGTTGGGAATGAGACAGGAGAGAAAACAAGCACTCTTTCCATGGCGGAGACTTTGCTTTGGTCTGAGTGGCAGATGATGGAGTGACTGGCACAGTCTGACCAACCATGTAAGTACTAGATGGGTGTGAGTCCCAGCTTTGCAGACTTCATGGCACTGTGGCTTCTAGAAAATTACTTCTCCTTACTTCCTCAGTTTCCACACCTGTAGCCGAGCAGCAGGGACATCCAGTGCCTGCAGCAGAGGGCAGGTAAAAGAGTGATAAGTATGTGAAAAGTGTTCAAGTGGTAAATAGCCCAGAAGCAATCACAGTTATTAGCTTTTCTCTTCCACTTCCTATTGACCTCCCCTCTGAATTCCTACGGTCCCTACCTGATGGGCCCAGAATTCCTCCCTCCACATATTCACTTGCATGGCTTTGGAACTTAGCTGTGTCTCTCCAAATAGACATGTTAAAACCCCATGGATGCAGGAATTCATTCGTTCAAAGAACAGCCATCACGTGCTCACAAGGAGCACAGGGCTAGGCGCCGTGGGTGGGAAGTGCAGGAAGCTTGGCCCCGATCTCTAGCAATTCGCAGTGTAGTGAGGAAGGTAAGATGTGCACAACAGAGAGCTGTGACTTGGGTAGAAGATGACAGCGTCACTAGGAGAGTGTAAGAGCCGAAGGCCAGGAAGAGCCCCATTTTCCCAAGGGGACTGAGAGACAAGGGAAAGCTGGTCTTACAGCGATGAAGGATGGGAAGAGAAGGCTTTTCAGGAAGAGAGGGGCTTGGGGGGAAAGGGTGACAGTGGAAGGGCAAGAAACCGATGTGGTGTTATGGTTGTGCTTTACATCTTGACATCCATCAAGAGCCTCATTTGCTCATAGACAGGGCTTTTGGAAGTTGATTGGATTATGGGGTGCTACAGCTAAATTGCTGCTAGGAGGTGGGGTCTGGTCGGAAGAGCCTGGTCCCTGTGGGGCATGGCCTGGAAAGATTTATCTCCTGACTCCTCCCCTAAGCCCCTCCTTCCTATCTGCAGTGAGCAGCTCTCTTCCACCACGCCCCCTGCCATGCCACCAGTGCACTACGGACCGTGAGCACTACAAACTGTGAGCCAAAATACCCCTCTCCTTCAACTGTGGGTATCAACTATTTGTTCCCAGCAGTGAGGACAGTGGCTGAGACCTGTAGGGAAAGGAGCCGTCCAGTGTGACCACAGTTTGAAAGGTAGCATTGGAGATGAGATCCGGAGGCCGGCCAGACCTTAAATACACAGCTAAAGAAACTACACCTGATCCCCATGGGTAGACAGCAGCTGAGCCTCGGACAACCTCCCTTCTCCAAAATGCTCTGATTGGTGTGGCTAGAAGGGCAACTCAGCAGGAGTCAGGAAGATCATTTATAAAACCACAGTAATACCCCAGGCGTGACATGGACAAGGTGGGGCTAGGGCAGCAGGTGAGAGGGGCAGGGCGATGGGGGTGGACAGGAGCCTGTGCAGACGTGAAGATGACTTGGGTGCCTGCATCCTCCCTCCTTGACACATTCATTTCTTCACACGGCAACCAGAGGGGGCCTGTGTGCTCTGTATCAGACTGTGTCCCTTCTCTCATCCAAACCCTGCAATGGCTTCTCATCATACCCAGGATTGATTCCAAAGCCATCTCTGCTTCTTACAGCACAGTGTCTGGCCTTCTCTCTTGGCATCAACCTGTCACTGGATGCATTCTTGCTACTCATCTCTGCCGTTCCTTAAGTCTGGGCCTTTTGTGTCTGCGGCTCCCTCTGCCTGGCCTAGCTTGATCCCACCTCTCATGCTGGCCTCTGCTCAGATGAGATCTGCCTCAAAGAAATCGTCCCTGGTGAGAACTGGCAGCAGCAGCATCCTGTCACCTTCTGGCCGCTTTATTTTTTATTTATGGGATTTGTCAATTTCTAACCAGAGTTATAATTTTTTTCCAGGGGAGTCAACTATTTATTGCATTTTATAACTTGGAAAAGGGTCTTAAAGCAAGGCTAGTTGAATTCTACCAGGATGTTTCTTATTTCACATAGGGAATTTCTTTAAAAAATGATGTCAGTATTTGCAGTGCACTAAGCACTTCTTTTAAATACAAGCTATAATAGAATGGCCCTTGTAAATTGAGAGAAAGAAAAGGAATACAAAAAAATCAGTGCAAGCTACTGAGAACCGGGACCCTGGTTTTGTCTGTAAGAGGAAAGAAGCGACCTTTATTGGTCATTTTCAATCTACTGGAACCTTCCAATGGTGTTTTCCTTGAAGAGATAGGGTCATATAAATATTAAACATGGTTTAAGGTGTTTACTCCTTTCCCATATAAGGAAGATGTGAATGGTTTTAAAAACTTGGAAGCTGCAAGCAACAGAGTTAAGATCCAAACTCTTCTTAAGTGTTCTGTGCTGACTCTTGGTTGCCCTGCTAGAATCCAAATTCCTATGGATTTAGTCCCTGCTGTATCCTCAGGATGAATGTGGAATTCAAGGCGAACCCAGCATTTCCAGTCTTCACAAATGGGAAGCCAGTGGACCTAGCCACGGTAGGAAACACCCAAGCAGGAAGGATTCTGAAGAGGAAACCAAGGTGAGCTGTCAACATTTGCATTTGAGATGCTAGTCTGAGACCCCAGGGGATGATCCCGACATAGCTGGCAAAAGGACAGGTATGCAGGGGTGTTGAGCGTCAGGAGTCCACCACAGATAGGTGATTACGTAGCCCTGCCGAAGGGACAGGCATGAGGCACATCCCAAATGAGCAGACAGGAAGGAAGAGGAGTTTTCCTTTTTTTTTTTTTCCTCTTCATACCAGGGATCGAACTTGCCTGGCAGGTGCAGTGCCACTGAGCTACACCCCTGGCAGGAAGGGGGGCTTTCAATAGCTGTCCATTGCTCCTGGGAATAAGCCCCCAATGCCGTCCACATCCTCCATAAGACCCTGCATGATAGAGCCTTTGGTCCATGGCTCTGACCTCACCACCCCAAACCTTTCCCTTGCACTCCAGCCACATGGGTCTCTTTGGGTTTTCTGAAATTGCCAAGCTCCTTCTCACTGTTGCTTTCACAGCTTCCCTTCCTTTTCCTGGAAGCCACCTCTCCAAACGCTGCCACTCCTCACCCAGCTAACACTTGTTTATCTGGCAGATCTCAGCTTAAATATCACTTCCTCAGACTGTCCTTCCTTGGGTTGGCTTCCTTCTCCCTCTGACATGCTTTTACAACACTCTGTAGATAAATGCAAACACATGCACACATGTGCATAGAGCAGGTGGCTGATTATGCAACTATATGATATCTGTTCTCTTAGATCTTAAATAGAAGGGGCCAGTGGGCCAGTGAAAATGCCTGTGTTGCTCACTGTTTTGTCCCCAGCACCTAGCATAGTTGTGGCACATACTAGATGCTCAATAAAATCAGGTTGAATGGATGAACTGAACCAGTAGCAAGAAAAGAAAAAAAAATATATATATATATACAGGAACAGGAAGAAGAGATGGATTTTTCAAATGGAAGCAGGGCTCTGGCACTGTCCCAAGCTGTAGCTGAGTGTGGCGAGCTGCAGAAAGAAAAGCCACAGAGTCCAAGGGGCTCAGTGACTGTGGCTTTAGGAAACCAATTGAAATATTTGGTTAGGAGGAGGGAGAAGAGGTGGTAAAGGCCAAAGGCAATGTGTGAGAGGGTGGGTGGAAGGGAAGTAGAATCAGCTTGTGTGATCCACTCTCTCAAGGGACTGGGTAATAAATAAGTAAAAGGGAAGTCAGAGTTACAGAGAGGAGAGTTTTTGGAATGAAAGGGAATTTCACATTTTCATAAGTCAAAGAAAAAGTAGCCAAAGGGAAAGATGAAATATTCATAAATGAAGACGAGCTCTTTGGTGGGGCAAAGCATTTGAAGAGAAGGGGAAGCTAAGTTAGTGGTTCACATCTATAATCTCAGTGACTAGGGAGGCTGAGACAGGAGGATCTCAAGTTTGAGCCCAGACTAGGCAACTTAATGATTGAGCATAACCCCATCTCAAGATAAAAGATTTGAAAATGGCTGAGGATTTAGCTCAGTGTAAAGATTCTGGGTTCATGCCTCATGCCACACATGAACCACACCATGTCATCCTCTGGACAAATCCCTTTGAGGCGGGTATCAGTCATTCCCACCTGTGGGTGAAGAAAGGTTTGAAACATAAATGAATGGTTCCTAAACACAGGATGGTGCCATGACACAAACAGTATTTGTATTTACCAAAAGAAGAATATGAAGCTTTTAGCTAGGAGTGGTGGCATATGCTCGTAATTCCGGCAGTCTGGGAGGCTGAGGCAAGAAGGCTGCAAGTTCAAGTCCAGTCTGGATAACTCAGTGAGACCCTGTCAGGTGAATGAATGAATAAATGAGTTTGTTTTTTAAAACGATCTTCAAAATAAGTAAATAAATAAAACAAACTTGGAAGCTTCAAAGAATGTGTATCTTCAATATGGCAAAGAGACCTTATTAAATGAAGAGGCAAGCTAAAATTCTGGAAAAACCCAGTCAGCCTCTCTAGGAGTGGATGTGCATCTTGTTTGAAAAGCCGTTGCAGCAGTCAACTTCATAGAGATAGAAAATGGAATGGTGGTTGCCAGGGGTGGAGAAATCAGGGAATGAGTAGTCATTGTCTCCTGGGCACAGAGTTTCAGCTGTACAAGATGAGAAGGATCCAGGAGCCGGCCTGTGAGACGGGTTCTGATGACAAATTTGTTGTTATGTGCATTTTAGCACAAGTGTTCTTTTTTTTTTTTATTACAAGTGTTCTTGAAAGCCACTCCACTGAGTAATAATGAATTTGAACACTCCGATGGAAAAGTAAACAATAAATATCAGTAAGAGTTCACAGATGAAGCCCACAAGTGCTGATTTAAATATGAACCACTCTTCAGTCTCAACGCTTGAAGCCAAGAAAGTCTCTGACCAATTAGATGAAGAATAAGTGCAGCAGTAACACCCTGTGGTGGCTGTGTAGCCTCAGACGCCCTTAAGCACTGTGGGTGGGAGTATACATGAGCGCTGCTTTTTTAGAAGATCAGGCTGGAGCTATCAAAATACAAATGGCATGCCATTTGATCCAACAACTCCACTTTTAGGAATTTCTCCCAGAGAAATACCCACTCAGATGATGTATAAGGGGATTTTATCCCAGCATTTCTTAAAATTTTTTAAAATAGAAGCTACCCAACTAGCCATCAAGAAAACGAGTTTTAAATAATGGTGTGAGCTCACAATGGATTAATACTCAGTCACTGAAAAATCAAAGTTGTTCTCTAATATGAATAGAAAAACAGGAAGTGATAATTGGAAAACAAGTTGCTAAACAGTATTATCATATGATTTTTTTCTAAAATTAAACAACTGCTCCTTTTCTAATTTAAAAGAAAAGACTTGGTGTCTACTTCCAAAGAAAAAGACCCAGGGGTTCTGTGGTGGCCCTAAAAATGGGAAGGAAGGTTTTCACTCTTTACTTACACACCTGGAGTGTGTTTACTTATGGTTTCCTGGGAGCACTTTCTAATCTTGGTAATAAAAGAAATAAACATGGGAAAATGTGGAATGAAATTGAAGAGCTTTCCGAGCCCAGAAATGAACAGCCTGGGAAGGTGTCACAGTGGCACTGACACAGGATAAGTGTCGCAAGTGGACAGGAATGGGGTAAGCGGAACTGAGGATAAAGGGCCTGGCCAGACGGAGGGAGGTGAGCACCTGGGAAGCCAGTTCAGGACACCTGTCAGGGATACCATGAGGAGCTGAGCAGAGAGGAAAAGGCACTGAGTTGATAAAACCAACTCCTCCCAGTTCTACTAAAAATGTTGACCTAAAGAGTGCATTCATTTATTCAAACGTGTTTATTGATCGTCTTCTGTGTGATATAGAACAAACTCAAAGAAACGCTCTTCCTTTCAAACTGCTTTCGGTGTAATGGGTGAGATGTACAAAAATATGACATTAACTAACTGACAAGCACTCCGAAGCAAATTCTGACAGTCCTGGGATGAGAAGGTGGGGAGACTTGTCCAGGCAGGGTCCTCTGAGCAGTTCTGTCTACACCGAAACCTGAGGGAGGGTGGCGGCTGGCTTAATGAGGGGCTGGCGAGGAGGGCAAGGCTTTCAAGGCAGAGACAAGCACGCGAAAACAGTGAGGAGAGGAAAAGCTTGCTGGGAGAAGGAAGGAGAGATAGTGTGACATTCCCCAAAGTGGCACCACCAATCGGCCTCGTGGGCCTCCCTTCAACACCCAGCCCTGCTGAGGACCCAGTGTGCCCTCCTGGAAGGACCTGGTAATCAGGGCTTGCCGCAGCATGCGGTGTTAAACGACTGCACGCTCAACCTAGTACCCCCGAGCCTCCTTCCTGTAGCGTGAAGAAAGTGGGGGAGGGGTAGAGCCCAGTACAGACACACGTTATCCGCCCCGCCCGTCCCGGGCTAGACATAGAAAGCAGCGAACCCTGAAATCGCCACCCATGCGAAGTCGAACACGGCAAGTCACAGGGCGCCCCCTGAACACGACTGAACGCCACACTGAATTGCACAAGCTGCAAGGGAGCGCACCGAGGCTGCCACAGGGCGCTGCGGCTCTGTCAGTCCCTGGCCATGACCAGAGCGGTAAGTAGCAGAACGGCTGGAGGGCAGCGCTCCTTTGATTCAGTTAGGCCTCAGAGACTTTCCAAAAGTCTAAGATGGAGCACACTCTGTGCCTCTTCTCTGGGAGGTCCCCAGGGGAAGGCTGATCCCAGGGACAACCCTGTGCAGGGCAGGGACTGGGGAGACAGATGAGGCAGTTAGGGTGCCCAGGACCTGGGTGGAAGGGAGTGGCCAGCCCGGTATTCCAGAGGGAAGGAAGAGCACAAATGAAAGACACTGAGCTAAAAGGATACAATGTTTTCAGGAAATAATGAGCAGGCCAGTGTGCTCGGAGGGTCAGGGAGTGGCTGAGGATGGGGCTGAAAGTTAGGCAGAGCATCAAGGAGGCCCAGGAGTAGCTCTGGGATTTCTGCAGGTGTTGTGTGGCAGGAGGGTCCCATGGCATCTTGGGAGGAGACCAGAGCTGCGTGCAGGACAGACAGGAGGCAGACAGGGCAGGAATCTTCTTTGGGACCCTCTGCCTCTCCCCAAACCCTTCCCACCCCCAGCTTGGCCTCTGACATCGGTGGGTTTAATTAACAGGGGAAAAGGAAAACATTCGTCACATTCATCTCGGCTCTTCCTCCAGAGCAGAGCCGACCCAGAGGCACTTGCACCCTGCTGTTTTCTCTAGGAGTGCAGAGGCTGGCAGGGGAGGATGTGTCCTCCTGCTCACCCAAGAACCCCTACCTAGGAGATGCCAGGAGCTTTTAGCTCAGAGCAAGCTGAGACCTGGCTTCAAACTCCTTTAAGAGGGAGCACAGAAAAAAAAGAGGGAGTACAGAGAAAGCACAGCCGTCACCTGCCCAGGAGAGCACCAGCTCACGGCTGGGTGACTTCCTAAGTCATGCTTTCTCCTTTACTCAATATTTCATTATAGCTGGGAAAGCCTCTAACGCTCAGGAGTTATTTTCCTGGCTCAACAGTGGACCTTGGGAACGGGCCCAGAGTTCCAAAGTGATTAATATCCTGTGCTGTTCAGTGTCAAAGCACCTGGCTGGCTAAGCTGTTGGAGAGGCAGGCGTGGCAGTGTGATGGCAGGCAAGTCCCTGGAGTCACCTGCGTGAGGGATCGCACAAGGGAAGTCAATGAAATTGAATAGGGGCTCTGGACACAAACCTCCTGGGGGCCGTTAACTTTCAGGAAACGTTCTGAGTCGTTCTGCAGAGCTCTGGCCGTCCAGGGATTCCTCGGGTTCACCATCTTTCAGCTCTAGATGTAACCCCAGCCACGACTGTCGCCTATCAATTGCTCTGTTTATCTGATTGTCCGCCTGTTTTGGAAACACTCTCCTAGACTCCTGTGTGACTCATAGGTTAAGGAGCGTGAGTAATTCCTCTGGAACTCACTTGGAACAGGAGGGAACCCTTCCCATTTGATTTCCGGTCCTAAAAAAAGACAAGATAGTTCACAGAGGAGGCTGGTTTTCCTATTCAACAGTTAGGGTGGCCTAGCCCTGCTTGGAAAATTGCCTTTGGCGCTGAAGCATTTAGAAATTGGAATTCCTCTATCTTTTATTCAGAATTATAAAATGACACCAGGGTATCATTTTGTTGTGATTTAGTTTTGCTGCTGAAGCCATCATTTACATTACGGAGGAAGCCCAGGCAATATCTCTTCAGGAGCTTACAAAGGAGGAATGAACCACTGGATTTCTCCTTTCTTATTTGATTGCTGGTGGGTGACGGCAACCTGTCCTTGTACTCTTCCTCAGCTGTGAGGAGAACTCCTGGCTGGCCTTCACCCCCAATGGGTGTGGCTCCCTTTACAGCCAGAACTCTGCTGTGTTCTCTTCCTGTAACAGAAATGGCGAGAGAGTGGCTCCATCTCCTTGTTTCTAAACTCCTTTCGGAGAGGACGAGGCCCTCCAGGCCCTCACTAGAATTCAGGTACCCGACAGCTTTTCAGCAGGGCCAGAATGAAGGAAATACCATGGCAAAAGGAGGAAATGGAAACCAACCCAAACCTGCTGGTGTTTAGTTGGCAAAAATCTCTTTGCTCTTTTTTGCCTCAGCAGCTGTGTGACATCAGGCAAGTTCATTAACCTCTCTGTCCTTATCTGTGAAATAGATACTAACACAGCCCGATAAGGTTACTGATCATTAAAGCACAGATGTGAATATTCATAATTTGTGCACACAATTGCATTCAGTGAGCCTTATTGTGAATGTTGTTCTGATAACACCCATGAGCAACGGCCAAGACCCTCTCCTGAAGACAAGGCTGCTGACAGCTACAGAATGTTCCTCTCACCCTTTGGACCGGAAGAAGAGTATCAGTCCAGAGTAGGTGGACTTTCTACCAGCACAACACTGAAACAGAAAGGCAAATGGACAGGTTTCTTCATTGTCCAACCTTTCCTCCAGGCACAGCTGCAAAGATCACCACTATCTACTCCACATTCCTACGAAGTGCAGACTGCATTAGGCCTTCTCCACTTGAATCCCTCCAAGGCTTCCAAAGCATTTGGCTTGGAGTTGGGCTTCCTGGCTCCTCCTCCCGTCCTGGCTCCCCAATCCCCACCAGCTCATTCAGCTCTGACCACCCATGAGGCCTTCGTGGGCAGCCCCCTCTCATCCCACCTCCTACGTCCACTGCTCGTCTTGGGCCTCAGCTTACCGTCATCTCCTCAGAGAGGCCCTTCCTGGAGGGCTCTGCCATTATCCTCCACACAGCTCCCCCGTGTATTTAGTTCATTCTGCTCAGCGTAAGTTAGGCGAAATGCTTGCTTGTGGCTCTTTCCACCTTACTGGACTGTGAGCTCCAGGAAGGCAAAGTGGACACTGGGGCTGGCTTAGGAAGTGCTCAGTGGACACCGCACAGTAAGTAGCGGGGGGCAGATCTATGGAAACAGGAAGAGGAAGGGAGCAAGGTGAGGATGGAAGAAGGGAAGGAGGGAGAGAGGAAGGAAGGATTGATTCAGGGTCAGGGAATGAGAAGCACATTCAGGCAGACGGCATGAGGTCGCAGCCGATGTAGACAAAGAGAAGGTTCCAAAGCAGAGACCAGACTGGCAATGGTATACGATGCCTGAGGACACACAGCCAGCAGGTTGCCGAGACCTCTTAGCACAGTCCGCCAATTAAAATTAATGAATTGATGTGCTAAGGTCATGGCAAGGATGACAGGCAAAACTGAAAAGATCATGGAGTTTCCCCTTCTGCTTGCCACTGGTGGTGTTCCTCAGAGACTGTGCCCGGGAGGAAAGAGTCAAACGCCAGCACTATAGAGCTGCAGGGCCCTGGTCTGTCCTGCGAAGACACTGGGAAGTCTCTTGCCAGCCTTGATCACACACTCCCTGCTTAAGAAGTGTTCCTCCTCTTTCCTTCCCACCGTCACTCACTTTTGTGCCCTCCCATTCTGAGCAGAAATTCAGCAGGACGACATTGGCAGCAGCAGAAACCCTTGGAAAGCCCATTTAAGACAGGTGGCTGAGCCCCCTCCCAGAGTTTCTGACTCTGAACCTGGAGGGGAACAGTTTGCATTTCTGAGTTCCCATGTTCTCCTAGTTCCAGGGCCACACTTTGAGACCCACTGGAACTGCCCATCAGAGAGAGGGGAATGGAGGACAGGGGATCAGGAGGCCTACTGAGCCTGGTTTTGGAAGGTGCCTTGGACACACTCCGTCTCGTCTCCCTGGCCTTCAAGTCACCTCCAAATCTAAGCCATTGTCTGATGACTTTCCTCCCATCCCTGCTCAGATGTTGGCCATTCCCCACTCCCACAATACCAAATGCATCTCTTTATTATGATAACGATGTTCCTGTACCCTGAATTCGATCATTGACCCATGTTCCCTACTCGACTAGGACTTTGCTTATTGACTTATATTCTCCACTGACCAGGGACGCTTTGACCATTGGATTGTGTCATCTTTCTCAGCATCTCGTTTAAGACTTAAATGTTTATTGACTGCCAGACTAACTGATTGGATAAATGAAAGTGTTTAATGAGTATTAAAATATGTGGTGGCAGGAAAAGCAACCAAAACTGATACTCTGTGTAGACACTGTGAACTGGGGCCGCATGCTTTCTTATCTGACAAAGATGCATTCAGCTCTCTGCTCTACACTAGCCACGTAAATCACTCAATCATTCTGAGCTTCCCTCTCATAGTTAGTAAAATAAAGACAACAATCTCTGTGTGTATGTGAGGATTAAATGAAATAGTAAGTATACAACGGTGCTTGGTACATAGAAAATCTTAAAGTTACACTTTTTGATAAAATAAAGCAATTATTTATTCATTTTTGCATTACTAGGGATTGAGCTCAGTGCCTTCCATAGTCAAGGCAAGCATTCTGCCACTGAGCTACGTCCCCATTCTGAAAAATGGAAATTGGGCTTGGTAAAAGTAACACTGACAATAAAAGCTATTTATAATGCTTGCTTAATATTTATATCCCATGACGAAGCAGCAGAATACTATTACTGTTTTGCAACTTACTTAATACATGTCGAATTACCTTCAGTCATTATTTTCCCAGTGCTAAACTTTGTGTTGCTCTAAATCCATTCAACTGGTGTCTGGAATGTCATTTGCCTTTTAAAAATTCTTATCCCAGGAAATGGGTAGGATTTCACAATGAAGGACTTCAGAACGAGTAACCCAAGGCCACAGACACAGACAACTTTCTATGAGAAATGTGGCCAAAAGACAGTTTGTAAGAGAAAAAGATAATAGCACCTCTCTGTTGAACAATGCATTTATGAAAACTAAATGTGTCTGGATATGTTGGCACATGCCTATAACCCCAGCTGCCTGGGGAGCTGACACAGGTTTGAGCCTTGCCTGGTCAACTTAGGGAGATCCTGTCTCAAAGTAAAAAAAAATAAGAGGTCATTTCTCCCTGGGCTGAATCCAGGTACTACACAAGACAGAGTGTTTCCATTGATGTTAGTGACAGTTATTAGATTGGAAATCATTTTAAGGCAAAGTACTAGGAATTCTTAGATCTGGAGCCCTACATTTTTAAAAAATCTATATTTTGTGAAGGAAATATTCAAATACACTTCTCATTCATTTTAATGTATAATTTATGAATAATTCCTTTACCAATAGATCCCCAAATGTATCCTCTTGAGTACTTAAAATCTCTCATAATAAAATTGAAACTGTTTTAAAGGGTGGATATATTTTAACTGGGCTACACTCCCCAGAGAGGAAGGACACTGTTAGTAAGTCAAGTTCTAATGACCGGGCAAGACAAAGCAAGCAGGACTTGGTCATTGCTGAACTGGTCTCACAAACAGGAGTGCACAGGAAATGGAATGACAGCAAATTTCAAAGCACAGTAAATGCTCATTAATGGCAAACATGGAAGTTACACTTCTGCTTCAGATTTGCTGAACCAGAAAGAAAAAAACAAACACAAGGGCTTTGGGGTCTTCCTCTGCACAAAGCAATCTAAGCAACATGTTGTTCTGTGGGGCTCTATGAGAAGCAAGTTTGACTGCTTGTATTCAACAGGCTTTTGTCTTCCGATTTGTTCTCAAGATGAGCCTGTCGTGTGCACTCTGACCAGTGAGTGTGCTCAAGTGTGCATCGAGGATCATCCTTCAAACAGACTTGGAGAGGGGCACTCTGAAGGGAAAAGACACACACACACACACACACACACACACACACACACACACACACACACACCTCT